CTGTACAAAAATCAAGCAGAGCCAAATCACAGAATAGACATCAAGGAATCAACAAACCTAAAACAAAGAGCCAAGAAATAATTGATACATAGCCAGCCACATATGTGGAACACATTATTACAATATTAGTCTTTTTTTAAATTTTATTTTTATTGATTTCAGAGAAGGGAGAGAGATAGAAAACAGCAATGAGAGAGAGAATCATAGTTTGGCTGCCTTTTGCATGCCCCCCACTGGGGACTGAGCCCACAACCCAGGCATATGCCCTTGACCGGAATCGAAACCTAGGACCCTTCAGTCCACAAGCCAATGCTTTATCCACTGGGCCAAACCAGCTAGGGCACAACAGTAGTCTTAAATTGTTAAGAAAATACCCACAACTTAACACAATGACTACTCTGAAGAAAAGACAAATGGCCCGGCCGGCTTGGCTCAGTGGTTGAGCGTTGACCTTTGAACCAGGAGATCACCGTTCAATTCCTGGTCAGGACATATGCCTGGGTTGCAGGCTTGATCCCCAGTAGGGGTGGGCAGGAGGCAGCCAATCAATCAATGGTTCTGTTTCATCATTGATGCTTCTGTCTGTCTCTCCCTCTCTTTTTCTCTCTGAAAGCAAGAAAAAGATATTAATTTTTTTAAATGACAAATGATTCAACACATCATCTACCTACCGTATATTGCACACTGTATATCAATTTACAAGAAATTGTGTAAAAACACAAGTTCGTGTTTGAAAAAGAAGGAAGAAGGAACAAATGAAAATAAAGGTGGCTGGCCTATGGGGATAAAAGTGCAAGGGACCAGCCCACTCTATCAACAAAGGGGAAAAAAGCAAGCTACTTTTCAAATCAGATAAACCTCTGAAATCCCTCACACAAGCCAACAGGTATAAATCATTACATTTCTGAACATATCTAGACAAAGATCTTTTCCACACCAAAATAAACAAGTAGATAAAATAGTACGTTAGAAATGTAAATCAAATTCTACCACTACTTATAAAGGTAGTAGGACACACCAAACATTACCCCAACCTCCATTTTCACCTAGGTAATAAGAACACATTTTTAGCACCATAAATCCCTTTTCATAAGGTTTTTAATAGTTCAATATATTTAATTTAAATAGATCCTCCCTAGGAAAAACATACTTTTTATTGCTTTTGTCAGAACCATGTTTCTATACTGGAAAAACCCAAACTTACTCTACTCCAAATCCTTGTTGATTCCATGGTTGCCCGTATACTCCATAAGGCGGTACTTGCCACCCATTTGCCATATACTGTCCATACTGCTGTGGGTTTCCATAAACTTGGCTCCACTGACCCCACTGACTATAGTCAACCTAGGAAAAAACAAATTACCGTTTTAAGAAACAAGTAAGAAATACAGTATTTGAAGAAAGTGGGAGACAAGGAAGAGAAAAACTAAGCACCCTTATGTGAATAGGACTCTGTTATTTATCATTGTCTAAGTTTATTGGGGTGGTGACACCTGTGAAAAGAAAGTATTAAGATTCAGTTAATACCACAAAATAATCACTTTTGAAATAGCATTAATAAAAATCAATTGAAAGCAGATATATGCTTCATTTTTTAATTTCAGTTTCTAAAGTGTTTATGTAGCTACATAAGATAGAAACCTTAAAAAGTGCTATGAAAAATTGAATTACCTGTTGGAAGTTTTTAGTCATATCAGGAGATTCTTTACCCCAATAGCATTTAACAACATGTCCTTCGATCGTAGTACCATTCACCGAAACAATGGCATGGGCTGCACTTTCGTGGGTTGAAAATCTGAGAGAAAAATAGAAAAAGTTTTTTTAAAGTACAGTACACAGTACTAGTTTATACACTTGTTAGTTTATAAGTGTCAATTTGGCATTGGTATCCTAGAGTACATTATATAGGTAGTTCTACATTACAAAGTAATACTAACATAATAAACTCTGATACCTAGGGGGATCAAATACTATAACTGAAAGGAACAAATCAAATTTAAGAGTAATAATATTACAGGTAGAATTTTACCTGACAAATGAATAGCCCTTCTCTGGAAAAACTCTTATTTCCATGATTTGTCCAAATGGTGAGAATGTCTGTCTCATAAGCTGATCTGAAAAACAAAAACATACAGATTATTCAAGGCTCATGTTTATCATAAAATTGGTACTAATAGTGATGAAGCTCCAGAAAGAAGGGGGTTAGAAAACCAAACACAATACCTGTTAACCCAGAAGCAATTCCTCCACAGTACACAGTACAATTTTTTGGACTTGACTGGTTTACTACATCTTCAAATCTTAACTGCTTAGTGTTATCTATGTGCACAGAGAAAACAAAAATGTTGACAGCTATAAAGTGTTATAAAAGGGATTATTATATTAAGATATGCCTCATTTGGGGGGGGAAATGAAAGAAAATATTTTTCTTGACGCTCTGACTTGATCTATATCAGCTGGTTCACAGCTCCAAATATACGTGTATCAAAGCCCAATTATTTTCAATTATATTCAAGATGAAATGAGTCTTGCAATGCTAATAAAATGTTTAAGAAATTAAGACTATACTAATACATGACTTTGTGAAGTCCCCATCATTTTAATATAGTAGACGTATCTTACTTTCTTGTGTGCTTTTAGGTGCAGGTGGTTTACGTGTGGCCCAATTGGTTCTGATCTGACGACCACCCAGCCACTGACCTCCCATGTGCACAATTGCATTTTCTGCATCCTATAGAGAAAAAAAGAGAAAGAGCAATTACAAACAGAAAACTGTAGTATATAAGACCCAGAAGATGAAAGAAAATGCTGGCAATGTTGGATCCAATAAATCTTATTAGTAAATTAATTCACTGAGCATCCTTAACAAAACTGCACTAATATACTAAGAAAATTATTTAAATTGAGTGATTCATAAAAGCTATTACTTATAGATTTCAAAATACCAGGTCAACATTAAAGCATCAGAGAAATTTATCATTCAAATATACAAGAAAAAGACCACAATCCCATTGATTAAAAAATAAGGCAGAAATCCCGTAAGACAAAGTTGTTTTCTAATATTTTAATTTTATGTTTGATTTGTAATATAACTTCTACTGAATAATTTGTAAAAACTCTAATGTTATGGTCTAAATCACCTAATCCCGAAAATGTACATTCTAGTAGCAATGGATTGTAACTATAACATAAGATTAAAAACTCATTTAGGGCAGAAGACTTCTGCATTGTTGGAAAATGCTGTAAAGTGGCTGCCAATAAAAAATGAGTTTGGATTCTCAGAATTAATGTGAATTTGCAACGAATGCAATGAATCTACGCAAAGAAAGTATACGACTCCTGCCCTTTATCTTACTGCTTCAATAAATGCAGGTAATTTAAGTCGCTGAAACTGTTCTAAAATGCTAATGCCAAAGCCCACTTTATTATCTGATGTTATAGTTAATGCAAATACTTAGATATTTTAGTACTTCTTTCTTAAAAAATACATGCAAAAGTCAGGATGAGTTGCTTCAATTTTCATTTAATATCCCAACTACAAAAGTATGAATAATTATTAGAAGTTAAAACTGAGATTTTCAAAGTTAAGACCAAATATAATTTAACTTCCCCCCAAATTCTGAGACTACCTCATTTGTCCTACCCTTTAGCTTTACTTCTAAGTTACATCTTACCTTCACCAATGCACAAACACCACTTATTACTCTTCCTTATTATAATCAGGCTATCTTTTTCCAGCTATATATTTCCAAAAATATTAATTACACTCTATTGTTAAGACATACAAAATTACATAAAAGCTGTTTGTAATTAACATCTAAAAATATTCAAGTTTCAGATTAAATAATGACTAAATTCTGTATTAAATTTAAATTGAATTGAAAGAACGTACCAGTTTGTTATAAAAAGATACAAAACCATAGCCTTTGGATTTTCCAGTTGCCATGTCTTTAACTACTCGGGCATCCCTGTGAAAAGAAGCACAGCTAAATGAGGGAAGTAAGAGTCATCCTCAAAATAAAAACTAAAAGGAACCACACACACTGTATTGTGAGCATTTTTTAAAATAAAATTTCAGTTAGCCCTAATTAACTACAGTCATTCCTGAACTCTCCCTAACGCTTCTTTACCTGTTAGAAAAAAGCAGTAGGACAAAAACATGTAATAAACATGCAACCTAATCAAATAGCCTGTGCTTTCTAAACTAAATGCTCAAATCTGAAGATTAATAGGAACAATAGTTTCCTTTTCTAATATTCTATTGGCTAGTGTCCTCTAAGGTTTACTGATTCTATAAATTACTGTAACAATGCTAACTACTTTACCATGCAATCTCTAAATAGTTAAATGTTTTCTGCCTAGTGATACAAAATATATGAAATATTAAAAAATTGAAAAAGAGGAAAAAATAGGAATTAAAAAGGCATACATGGCCTGTTAACAGATTTCTTTATTTTTCTTGGTCAATTCTCTATCATCATTTTGGAGTTTGGGCAGCTGTAAATTTTGAAAAATTGACATTTTCAGAAATTTAAGAAAGGAGAATAAAAAACTAACAACAATGCTAAGCACACCAGTACGAAAACAACAAATTTACACAGAAATTTTAGTGAGTAAGTTAAAATGATTGGAAATATAGAACTCCACTGAATATAGAATGTTAAAATGTAAATACTAAAATATATGTATATATAAATAATGTATAATAAGAATAAATAGAAATGAGAAAAAAATCTACAACTGAGTTCCAGTGTGCACAGTTCCTTGCAGTTAGCCTTCAAGATCCTGTCCATTCTTATGAGCAATTCTGCAAAATAACCAGAATGCTATTACTTTTAATTGTGACTTGGACTTTAGAAAAACTGCAGCTCTCAGGTATAAATAAAGATTGAAAAACAGCAACCTGTATTACTTTTTATACTGATTTTCTACTTACCACATTTAGAGATTAAAAAGCAAAGCAAATATCAAAATAGAAAATTAAGAATTAAATATTTCTTTCAAATAAATTAAATCTATAGAACAACAAATTGTATACAGAAAAATATTGTTGTTCTTAGTTGAAACATATTCCTGTATACTAAAATGTATAATTTAAATCTACAGGAAATACATAAAACAAATAGATCTTTATCAAAAAGATATATTATGATAAACATTTTATAGAATTGTTAACCACTTTTAGTTTTCTAATATATTTGATCAAGTAACATACAGTGAAATTTGAGCATGAACTTTGTTAAAAATTAAACCACATTTGGGCCCTAACTAGCAGAATAAAACACCACTAACAAAACAAAAAACAATCCAAATTTATGGCTCAGACATTGAAACTTAATACCATAATAACATTTATCATTATAATTAAACATATACATTTTCAATCTAACCACAATATACCCCAGGATTTATCTACTTTCCCCCACTTATACAAAGCTTAATACATAGTATAAATCACATTTATTTTAACCCATTATCTTTAACCACTAAATATTGAAAACATTCGACAAAAAGTTAGACTTTATAATAGTTTATACCACCCAAACATCTGTTTCAAAGATAACAAACAATCACTTAAAAATTTTAAACACATTATACACAGGATTAGATTAAAACAAGACCCCAAAACATTAAAATGACAACATTTTCAACAACATCTAATAAAAACAAAAACAAAACAAAAATCACACTAGGTAGGAAAAGAAAATCTTAATTCTTATACAAGTTAATCATATACTATTGTGCCTATCACTATTGAGTATAGTATTGATTATGATACTTACGATATTTTACCAAAGGGGGCAAATGCTGATTTGATATCTTCTGTTGTAATTTCTGGACTCAAATCCCCAACAAACACATGGAAGTGATCTGAAATCAAAGCATTTGGTAATCAAATACTTAAGAAGTCAGCTACTAAACCTTTCATTTTTTTATTTTTGCTACTAAGCTTTTTATAGGCAACACTAAGGGAAGGAAAAACCCTACTTAAGCTGGAAATGCTGCCAGGATAATTTCAGAACTCTTCCACAGTAAAATGCAGCAGGAGTACTTACTGGAAGTATCTTTTTTCTGGCTACTTGGTGTTGTTGCCCAGTTTACTTTGACCTCCTAAAAATAAAGATTATATTTAATACAATTATTAGAGATATCATTGAAAAGCATAACACTTACCACTTATTAAATCATTTATCAAGCAGGGTAATTTTTGTAAAAGCACTAGGCTGAATAAAGCAAAACCATCACTCAGCAGAGCTTAATATTCTTTTAAAAACTTGCTACACAATAATGCAAGCTAATTTGACATGCAAACACAAATATTCATTAGGTGCCATTATTCTATTATCTTACCTTTCCCAAAATTTTTCTCCCATTCATAGCAGCTAATGCAGCAGCTGCATCTCTGTGTTCATAAAATTCCACAAAGCAATATGGGTCATTGCTTGTATGCTGCAAAACAGAAAATCCAACAGAAGAGTTGACCCTTCTGCTATCGGGTTGCTGAGAAGAAAATCCAGGAAAAAACATTACTGATAGCTAGGAATGTACAGGGAGATTGCATAAGCTTATGAAAGCCTAACACTTTATAAATAAGAGTTATAGCTAGACCTGACTTTGCACCTCAGGATTCTGTTGTACGCCAACAGAACTGTCAAAGCAATATAGAAGTATGACTATCAGCATTAAATCAAAATATAGAATTCTAGTGAAGTATAAATATAAAATAGAAATTTATATTACACCAAATAAAACCTGTTCAGATTCGATGGATAAGAACACTTCCTTACCACTGCTCTTCTTTCCCAACAGAATTTTCAAAAGGATGAATTCTATTTATGCATCAGAATCTCACTAACTGTAACCCATGACTATAAAAAATACAGGAATGAATCAACTTTACAAACTTTACTCCTGTTAGTACTACATGAGACGAGATTATGTATTTCTTTTATAGATAAGAAAGGAATGAGAATAAAATTGAAAAAGTTCAAATTTATAACTTGCTATTAAAGTGAATTCCCTTTCAAAATATTCTAATGTATGGGAGATTCTATAAACTTTTGAATTTGGTCATCAAAGACCAAAAAAATAAACTAGTGATTATTGAGAAAAAAATTTCTAAAAATGTCTTTGAATAAACATTTCAGGACAAAGCTACAATTTTATATCACAAAAACACTCATAAAAAAATCTTTATTGTATATATTCTACAACATTATGTTTGACAGTAGTTGGCAAATAAGTATTTATAGATGATGAGAAAGTAGTACACCTAATTGTATCATCTTACAACCTAATAGAAGTAAATTTTATAAACCTGCAGCCTATATTGGAGTTACACAACTGTATAAATATATTTACATAAGGTTAAAAATATTCACCGAGGTTCCATGTAAAATGACCTAAAAAAAATATTTAAAATGTGGAATTCTAGTTGCACTTACAAAGGATAAAAATACCAGATAAAACAAAGATCTTTTCAACAATCACTGTTTTTCATTCCAGGAAAGTTTTAGGAGAAAAATCCAAAATAAGACGTCTAAAACAATAGTGGCGAAGCAACCAGAGGCATTTCCTTGAGAGGGGAAAAAAAGTGTGATCATTAATACTGACAAGAAAACTATGGGCTCCCATACAAAATCCTACTGTCCTAGACACATGAACGCTGTTCTTAAAGAGACAGAGAAAGAAAATGGGGGGAAAAAACTCCAAATCTTAAATTCCTCCTTTAAAGAAAGTTAATATTTACTAGTAACATTCATTAAAGAAAGGACTTTAAAGGTAAATAATAAGCTAAAACTACGAGTCAATTTTTCCTTTTAGTCCTACCTTTTCTGCCCTATGGCCTCTAAGGAAAACACTGATAACTGTAGCAAAGCATAGAGAAGTCCAGTGGTAGATCTATTAACAGACGTTAGTAAACTAGTCTACTCATGCACACTGACTGCACGTTTATCTAAGCGGTAGCAGGCCAGACCCCATTCAACATATGTAAACATGCACATTTACATATTCACATCACACTATATTTTATGTAAGACCCCACTGATTTCTGCCACTTCCCAAGTGTCAGATGTGTTAAAAATAATTTTACTAGATAATATACATTTATTATAGTATACAGGGAAAGCTAAACTCTAACATAAAACAATATCTAAAGTTAAAAAATCATAAAACTAAGGGTAAGAAAGATTTTTAATATGCTGAAATGAAATTCATGAAAGAAAAATGCCTAGACAGTCAGTAGCCACGGTCGCCAAATGGTGGTCCGTGCGGTCCGAAAGGTTGGCGACCTGTGGTCTATAGTTGGAGTTCATGCCTTTTGGAAGTTTCCCACTTACACCACTGGCAAGTGACACTAAAAATCAACTGTGTCCTTAATTACTATCGTCACCCAATTTTTAAAAAATCCTTACCAAGGATATAATCTTTATTGATTTTAGAGAGAGAGGAAGAGAGAAACATTGATGTGAAAGAAAAACATAGATCGGTTGCCTCCTGTACGTGCCCCAACTGGGATCGAACCTGCAACCTAGGTATATGCCCTGACCAGGACTTGAACCCACAACCTTCTGAATGTATGGGATGACCACGCTCCAACCAACTGAGCCACCCGGCCAGGACTGTTGTCATCCATTTTTGTGGGATGACATAAAGGTCAAGACAGAGAAATATAAGTCTTAGAACTATATACAAGTTCAAGTGTGGGAGTTGTAGAATACGGATAAATTTTGAAAATTCACTTTAAATCCCTCTACCCCTCAAATGGCTGTACATGCAGGTTTTTAAAAAACACTTCAGCCTAACCGGTTTGGCTCAGTGGCTAGAGCGTTGGCCTGCGGACTGAAAGGTTCTAGGTTCGATTCTGGTCAAGGGCATGTACCTTGGGTGCGGGCACATCCCCAGTGGGGGGTGTGCAGGAAGCAGCTGATCAATGTTTCTATCTCTTCCTCTCCCTTCCTCTCTATAAAAAAAAAAATCAATAAAATATATTTTTTAAAAACCCACTTCAAATAATTACTAAACGTCTTGCAAAATTTTTCTAATGATTCTTTCCCTTTTCACATCCCATCCTCTTCTGAACCCACTCCAATTGGCTTCCAACCCAACTGAGCCACTGAAACTGTGTTAAACTCACCAATGACCTCTCTGCCAGCTCTGTGATCCCTTTTCTGTCCTCATCTTGACTTTTGAGCAGAATTCAAAACAAGGGACAACCCGCCCAACCACGCCTTTAAATATTCTCCTTTCTATCCCACTATACTCTCTTGGTTTTTCTATTTCCTCAC